CTTAAGATAAAAAACTTTATTAAATGATCCTGATAATTCATTATGTAATGAAAATCATTAAAAATTTGTGACTGCATATCTTTTAAATACATTTGTGCACGTGAAATAAATGTATTATGCAATATAGGTTACAAAACCAGTCCTCTTCATGGATTTGACGATTTTTTTCTCGCAATAGACACTAAGTTTCAAGTACATCATAATTGCTTCTTTCGTAATATTACAGCACTTTTTTTTAAATAAGATACCATCCTCTCTCGACCACCATGACCAATAGCCATATGACACAAATGAAGAATATCAAACAAATCCTCGTTAATTAGTAATAAAGGAAACCTAATTCGTTACATTTTATACTCTTAATAAGACGATATTTTCCACTAATTGATATTATATTGTACTTACAAAGGTTATTATAATCTTTAGAATTTTTCTTTGAACCAGACGTATTCAAAATTATTTTAGAATGTTTTACTTCTTCTAGTCGTTCATTATACTAACTCAAAAAAAAAAAAAAAAATGTACTATCGCCACGTTTTTTAATCAGTAAAGTATCAATTGTTCACACATAAAAGCTAAATACATTATTAATAAAAATTACGATTTCACAATTTACAAATACAAGGTACGTATACACACAACGGACACATATCATTAATCAAAAACGTTCAACTGAAAGTGTGTAGTACAATTTAATTTAAATATTTGGTCGAAAAACCAAATGGTTCTCTTTTTTTGAACATTTACTTGTATTAGAGATTATACAACGGAAATTGCTTTACGTATTAATGCAATAAACACATATGTATAATTATTAAATTACAGTGGACTTATCTTGTTTTATATGTCTGATACAACAATTAGATTTAAAGTTTTCAAAAGTTGACTGATCTGGTTATTGAATTAAACTCATAGATTAATAAATTTCATCAATTATTCTATTATAGTTAAAATGAAATATAAAATTTTATTAGCAAAAAATCAATAGCCGAAAAATAACATTAACTAAATTTATCAGTCAATATTGGAAATATTCATAGTTGTCTATAATGAGTCATTATTAGAGCGCGGATTTGTATGCATTTAAAAGTATCGAAATATGCCATATAATATGCAGTTAAAAATCATGAATTTATGCAAAAAATATGCAGTCAAAATCATGAAAATATGTAAAAAATATGAAGTTAAAATTATGAAAATATGCAAAAAATATGCAAGAATTTTTTATTTATTTAAAATTTATAATTTAACTTAAAAAATTTACTTAAATACTTAATACAAAAAAATTTAAGGAATTTTCTGAACTTAATTTATTTTTAAAATGTTATTCATTATTAAAATAAATAATCATATGCATTTCAAGTTTATCTTCTGTGAAGCTGTGTCGTTTATCGGTTAACATATTTTTAAAGACTGAAAACGAACCCTCGATGTCAACCGAAGTTATTGGGGCATATTTGAAGCAAGTGGTATGTCAATAATCCACTGACACAGCAAGAGCGATTAAGTTTACGTCGTAATCGATTATTTTATAACTAAATATATATATATATAAATTATTATTTAGTGGCTATGAAATTTATTTTTAATTTTTCTACTTGACGAAATATTATTTTATACATCTTTTTTTTAAATTTTCACTTCAATATGCAATACATTTTGAATTTGGCCAAAATATACAAAAATATGCAATAAACTCTAAGTAAGCAGAAATATGCGAAAAAAATTTCACCATTAGTTTCAAATTATGATGTTTCGTGAAAATAACTGACAAAAATCCAAAAATATTGAAAGGAAAAAAATATGCGATTGCTTAGAAATCCGCGCTCTAGTCATTATTAATGACTGGTCTGCACCATTGATATTGATATCACCTAGTCATTACCTAAATTGACAATAACATAGATAGCAATAAATAAATAAAAGGTTAGCCTGGAGTATTATTATATTTGAAAAATATAACCGATTTCGAATTAAAATTCATAAACAGGTATCTACAATGTTAATAGAATTGCGACTGAATATGATAAAATCACAACTTTTTGTTCGTAGGAAGGAAGTATCCAGGAATTTGCCAATTTGTTTAATAATATGGTACTAAGAATAATTTCGAAGAGGGGTATGAAAATATTCAAAAGGTTCTCCAAAAAGATTGGCTTTGTCAAGATATAATGATTCATCCAATTTTTTAATAGGCCACCAGAATTCTTTTAATTTCAGCATGTTATTAGTAGTTTTTTTATAATAAACCATATTGAGTGTTTAGAGATTTGAGTTTTGTATCAAAAATGTCGTTTTTATATACTTGGATTAATTTTTTTATGATTTTAGATTATTGAAAGTCACCAAATTTGTCGGAAATATAATGTCATTTCAATAGAGCTATGGTTTTCACATGTAGGAAGAGAATTGAATCTGTTTATGTTGATAAAGATCGGTTTGGATTTCTTCGAATTTTGCAGTTGAGCTGGTTGAAAAGAGAATGCATTTAGATTTTTTTTCTGACTTATATAAAATCGGAATCACGAGTTTCACTGTCCAAAAGACCTCATTTGAAGTATTTGATATATTCGAAATACCCTGTATGCAGTTCATATTATTATTAATTGATTTTGGTTTATTTTCATTAGTTTACTTCAATGACATATATATATATATAACTGAGCGTTTTCTACCCCTTGTTGTATATTTTAAAATATCAACAACTAGTAAGAGATTACATTTACACCTCGCCTGGAATAAAAAATACACTAATCATGGATAAAACAATATTTAATTATAATTTTTTAAATAGATCCATAAACAAATAAATATTTAGGTGCGTATAGTAAGGCACTGTAAAGAATTTAAACTCATGGATTACGATGGGAGTGAAGCTTTGAATAGAATTTGATAGTAATGTGATATGTGGCCTGCTCATGAGGTGCGGTACAGGTCTTTGTGGAGGTTTTTGTTGGTTACTTACGGACCAAGAGGCAGAAATTATTAACCAGAAGCAAATATATTGAAATGCTTGCAGGGTTTTGAAGTTCGACGGCTTAGCTGACCCTCTAAGTTGGATGCTATAAAGCCAAACCGGATAACTAATCGATTTGCATATTGTAAGTTTATTATTTAAGGAGAGTTTTGATTTCAAAAAGGGTTTCAGGATATGCAGTCTAGAGTTAACTTATTTTTGCTTTAGCTTTAGGTGCGAGTTCTATGTAAGATGTTTATCAAATGTTAAATCTTCATATTTTAAACATAAAGATCTTAAATTATTTTTAACAAAATTAATTTAATTTACAGATTTGTTGTGGAAGAAGAAAAACATCGAGCTTGTGAGTAGGATAAGGCGACTACACTCAGAAAAAATAATTTTTAATCCTATAATATAGTTTTATTCATCAATAATTTTATTGTTTTCATTAAACTAATTACGAATGTAATCAATTTACAATTTTTTTTTTTTTAATGTAATGATAAAAATAGAATATCAAACGTACACAATTACATTGATCTTAATAAACATTTTTCTTCAAAATAAAGCAAAAATATTTAATTTTATATTCAATTTTCATTGAAACTGTGACAATTTCTTTTTTTTAAATGCCTTATTCCATTTCTCTTGGGCCAGTAGTAACAGTAAAAAATAATACTTTTCAACACATAAGGGGTAATAGAAACGTAATGGGTTGTATGACAGTATTGTTTGAAAGATATTTTAGTCAAACCTTATCTGTAGTACCAAGAAGAATACGTTCTGATGAAACTAACGCGTGTCTAAAAATATCGTTTTTGTGATCAACGGTGAAGATATTAAAACTGACCAAAAATTCGCAGGATTTTATTTGAGACAGGAATGTTTCTCTCATGGTTAGTTTTACGTAGCGTGCTCAAATGTGAGCTCATCCTTCAGCTGGGTTGTGCTGACTCCACCTTCTAAAATGGTAAATAATGTAGTGTATAAATAAAAATTATATCTTTTGGCACTATTGGTAAGATTTTTTAATGAATTAAATCATCTTCAGACAAATTAGTATAGTTCAATTGCATAATACTGCGTTATAATTAAATATACAAACACACAAGGTAGTATAATTGCAATTTAATGACTAAACTGTACATATAAATACTTAAATATTCATCACTTATATTGTGGCAAGAAAATAAAATGAATTATATAATTATTGTGAAAAATTAAGACATAGAAATAACCCAATTAAAGTCATAGGTATATATGTAATTTTGCTAGATAATATTACAATCATACTAGGTATATTTGAATAAGTTAAATTTTTTTGAATGAATGAACAGACCTCTGCGAGGACGTCATCGACCTCAAGCAGACTACTCGTGCATATTTATTGGCCATTTAAAAATATCGATTGAGTTTGTTATATATTTTCTTATTTTGTTATACAATATATGTATATTAATACTACACCAATAATTGGGTATAATAATTATAATAAGTGTATTTTTATTAAAACAGCCAGTATATACACTATATACCATGTCAGTTTCCTACGGATATCTGAAACACTCAAATGTATATAAAACTACGAGTTCACAAGAGTGAAAATTAACTCATAAGAGCAATAAGTCACTGTAATAATTTACAAATTTAAAACAAAAAAATAATTTCCAACGCTCAATAATAAATATTCTAGAATAATTGTGTACATATCAATAATTTATTATAATAAGTTATTATATTGTACGAGTATAATCACAATAGAATTAGCTAATATTTGTTATACAATCATAAACTGATATGTTTGGCATATCAACATTCGCTAAACATACTCAATGTATGATTAAACAAATCAACTACTTCATAATCCATGGCACTAATTATAACTTTATATTATTTTGTGATTCAAAGCCTTTTTATAATAAATTTAGCATGATGAAAAAAATAATGATATCAAAATATAAAATGAGTTCAGTAGTATATTGATTGAATATTATAACATAAAATAATTTTTTAGAAGACATTGGTTTTGAGAAATGCATTATTTGACAGTATTGGTTTTATTATATTACAAAATAATTGATTATTATTACACTAATGGTGTATTACTAAACGTCCAATTAAATAGGATGAAAAGCAATCACTGAAAAAAAATTGAGAAAAGCAAATAAAATATATTCTCGTTTAACAATTTGATTAAATCTTATTTTAAACACTAATTAATTTTTTGCACTACACTAGACAAAAAGTTATCAGATCTTTTATCACAATAGCAATACATATTTTTTTGTTAGTGTTTTTAGGTTTTTCTAAGTGTTTTTTGTGAATATTATGTTGGTGCTATGCTTAAAATGGTTAAAACTTATTATTATGTTTGGTATAACCAAAATATGTGTATGTGTTTACTGGATACTGCAATTGCTCTTGTGTCCATTCTTCATCTTCAGTTTAGATTTAGGACGGTACTTTTCTAGAAATGCCAATTGTTTAGAATTTATAGCGCCTCTTCTTTTCCTGAAAAAAGTATAAAAATTGGTACAATAAACTAATACATCAAGAATATTAAACACTTACTCTCTAATTAATTGAACAGCATCTTCATATTTAAGCCCAAGTTCAATTAATGCCAGAGCCACTAAAACTGGTGCACGACCTAAACCTGCAACACAATGCACTGCAACACAACTTCCTTCTTCTTTGCGAAACTGATTACGTAGTAATTCAAACCATTCTTCGATCAACTATAATTATAAAAAAATAATACAATTTTAGTATATAAGACAGATTTCCAACATATAGTATATAATACTTCATTAAGAATGAGTGATTCACCTCATTTGCAGGGGATGTGCCATCATCGTATGCCAAATCTGTGACCATTATACCTTCTGCTTTCAATTCATCTACTTTGTATGTTGGTTCACAAACTCGTACAACGTGTTTAACATTATGCCTTTTTAATTCCTAAAATTACAAAAATAATTAAGTCATTTTATTTGACGAATTTTGATAGTACTTACAGCTATATAGTTGTGAATTATCTGATCATTAGGTCTGTCAGTGATAAGAAAACGCATTCCTTTATAATCTATCTCACAAGGCGGTGGTCTTATGTCTTTTTGACGCATTATGGTTTCGCTGCTCATTGAGCTAATTTATGATATATAACAGGAAAATAAAATTAAAATAAAGGAAGTATGGACTACTCTTATAATATGCCTGTATCTTAACTGAAGACAAAACAAGAGTCGTCCTTAATCCATTAAATAACAGGAGTTTTTGTTCTTGCAACCAACAAATTATACTAAATTATCAATTTAAACAATTCAACAATAAGGATAGATTAGGATCAATGCGCATTCAACGAGCAAGCATAATAATTAAATAAAACAATTTAATATGCATTCACATCCAATGTATTGTGTTGTGCCTGGCAATATTCACTGCTGTCTAACGACAAATCCATGAAACCAAAGGCTGCTACAGATTTAACAACCTGTAAACATAATAAATCAACCAGATAAGAATAATAAATCATAGATTTTGTGTAAACAAATTATTATCTCGTACTATAATTAACATAAATATAATAACTTTGCATTAATAATTGTCACAAGAATTATGTGAACAAATATCATATTTCTTATAAACAAATATTTTAAATATTCATTTAAAATCAGATCTAAAAATGTTATTTTACAACATGGACACATTTATCATATTTTAACAATGATGTATAACAGTCAATTTAACATCATAATGGTATACTTCAATAAGTGAATCCTAACTACTAAATGCAATATTTAACTAGTCTATCCGCTTGAAAATTATTTGATTAAGTGTCTAACAGTTAAAACCACTAACCTACTTTTTTATTTCGATAGTCTTATATTATACTATTAAGTTGCAATAACACAAAATCAACAAAATGCATATTTTTAATTAAAAATTCAAATATATTTGAAAGGACTTAAAATATATTTGTAGTCAAATCATTAAAAATATATTATCTAGTTTAGTATTATTTTTATTATAAATCACTTAATAACTTTGTAAATAAGGTAACAATAATATAAAATTTTAAAATTATAAAAATTGTAATGAATAACTTTAGTCAGTCAAAATCAGTTTCTTTCTGTTATAAAATGTTAAATTACATAGGTACATAAGCATTTTATTAAAAAAAATACACCAACAGAATATTAATAAAAATAAATATAAAATACTTAATAATAACATTTTAACCATAGACAATATTACTTTAACTATGAATGTTCCAAACTATTATGATAAATTAAAATAACATCAACTTAATATAATACTTGAATAATTATTTTGTTATTTAAGTAATATAAAATTTGAACAAATAATCAATAGATAAAACAAACATATTATGAGACAAGTATAAAGTCCGAAAATTATACTTGTGTAATGTCATGAATAACTAATTAAATAATATAAATATCATACAACACAATATTAATCTTAAAAACAAATTTTAAACCATTGCATTAACTATGATTGAAAACTCAAAATCTAGTCGAAAAATAAATATTGGTTAATATAACTTAAATAAGGTTTAATTTAATAAGGTTATATTTGAAAATACCCATATTTTTCAGGAAACACAAATTTAATACATTTGATTACATAACTAATACAAATTTTAAAATTTTTAATAAACTCTTATTTATCTATTTTAAAAATGAATTTTTTTTAATAATATTATTACATACACAATTTGATATGGCTTCATTAGTTGAAAAAAAGCCATTATGAAAAGAACACTATAGTCTATGGTTTTAATTGATAAACAATTTTCACAAAATAAACAAAAATAACAACTAGAGTAACTATTAAAATAATATATTCTTAAATTGTTTATATGTGTATGTAAGCAAAAAAATGGTTTACCTTGTTGATTTCGTTTTTTGAAATAATATAAAATTTCAAATAAGTAAAAAAAATTGAATTTCAGTTTATAGCAGATTAATGTATTTCCAACTGTCCTTCATTTAAACAGACTTAGATTCAAGCTGCCACTGAAATTATTGCAAAGATATAACCATTTGAAATTTTGAAAAAAAAGCAAGGCCTATCTAGTCATTTTCCAACTTTTAAATTTTCTGGCAATTTTTTTTTTTTGAAATTCAAAGGTATGTGTTTTGGTGAATTTTCAAGCAATTAAGTTTGGGGTTGGCTTAAATGAAGAGTAATTTCATTATTTGAGTGAGTTTGGCTCTATAGCAACAAGGTAGGCTTTCTAGTACATGTACACATATAATGATTTAAAAATGTAGTAAATTATTATAGTTTAAAAAATGAAGTAATATATTTTTATAAAGCTATTATAACAAATAACAATACATGTTATATAAAATGTTGAGTACACATGTATATAGTATTTTAGATTGATCTTACTGGCCTTAAATACTGATTCAGATCCGTTTCAAATATCAAATGACAAAATATGAAAATTTTTTCTTTGGATTTCATAAGTAAGTAATATATAATGCTTTAACTAAGTCAATATAAAGAAATTGATTTTGTAAAATACAAATGTAATATAATATTACAATCAATAATATATTGATCAAGTAAATTTGGTTCAATAAATGTCAAGAAAAAAAAAAACTTTAGAAAACTAAATAAATAAGAAAAAAATAGAAAATTTCACTTTGATACAAAATAATGAAGATTAATTGTAGGGGAACACAACCTACTTTTACTAGATACACTCTCTTTTTGTTATCAGATACCTATATTACCCCTCCAATATTAATATAAAATATCTATTTTTATGGAAACATAATGAGTAAATATTTTTAAAAATATTCCTTACATTTTAATTCAATTCTAAATAACTTAATCTGTATTTATGTTAAATTTATATATTATTGATTTATCACTTAAATTAATAATTGGGTAAATAATCAGAAGTTGTTTGATAATATTGTACAACAACTGAATATCTTTTGATACATTAATGAACTGAAAATACTAAAGCAGGCTTAATGAAATTAAAGAACAATAAATTGTTTACAAATTGCGTACATATTATTATGACACTCTCACAAAAATAAATAATATAAATGTCAAGTAGGTACTGACATTATTCATTTAATGTTTCGCATGATTATTTACTTACAATTTAACATTCATTTTAACATAGAATATGTTATAATACTAAAACATAGAATGAATATACTATCTTATCAAAATTATTCCAAAAACTTTTATATAAAAAATGGTAAAAGTAGAAGTATATAATATACTTATTTTATAGAAGTATATTTAAAGATTAATTATGATAAGAAAAAAGAAACTTTACCAAATATTATGCTCAGGACAAAACTTCAAAATGTGTACCAATGTATTTTGAATTAAAAAAAATATTATAATTATAAGATATTATTTTCAACAATTGCTTCAATTAATATAAAGAACATCGAAATACTTGTAAATAAAATATACAACATTAACTGTTGCAATTTTTAACATATATTTTTCATTTTAGCATCCTCCTAGAAATTAAGTCTGGGACATAAACTTCTCTAGTCTCTCTTGCTACAGCCCTGATATGGACAGCAGATCAGTTTTCATTGGGTCACCTACAATGTCTCATTAGAGCACTGAAAAACTCAGAACTGAGCATTATAACAAGTGAATCTTCCACACTAAAAATACTGCCAAAATTACAAACGCCCATGAAGTTATAGCAAACAGAAGACATTATAAGATTAAAAAATAATTAACTATTATTTCAAAAGAAATTCCAGACCCTAATGATTTTTAATTGCGTAATGCCAGTTTTCAAATATCAATCAACTTCGTTATTTTTAACAATAATGATCGAGACTGATCAATACAAAACACACCTTCATCACGACGATCAATCGACCGCTCAAGCAATAGTCTTTGTGACAAATCGGATTCTAGTTTCGCGGTCATTTAACTTTTATGTCACAAAATGTAAGTATATACTTGCCGAGAAAAATTGAACACTGCGATACAATCTGGGGTGATCGTTTAAACGACAGGCCCTTCGCCGATCGAACAACGATGACGATGATGACGAACGAAAAAAGATGATGAGAAAGTATGATACGACGACGAACCGCACTCGGACAGCTCTCGTCGCAGACACTGAGACGTGGTCGACGGGCCGTCGCCGCCGCGGAAACGACAGGCCACTTCGGGCCACCTTCCACTCCCCCCTCCGCAACTGAAACCACAATCCGACCCTCGGAAAGACCACCGACGGCCGCCCGTCCCTCTATTTATGGCCAAGCGCCATTACCGATGACAACGATGACGTTATGCAATCCGTGACGTGCGTCCAACCGACCGAAAAATCCGGCGGTGGCGGCGCCACAGTACGAGCGTACAGACGGTTGTCGCCGTTGGGCAAGAAAACCAATCGGAAATCCGAAGACGAAGCATAACTGCACAAAAAAACTTTACAGTCTATCATCGTTTATGTCTCCCGACGGGCGACGGCATACGGTTTACGGACGTGAGGGCAGAGAAAGAACATCCTTGACGGCGCCCGCTCGTCGTCTCGTCTGCGTATTAAAATAACGGATTAACGTCCAACACGCTTACCTGCAGTGCTCGATGAATGACCATGGAAGTAGACGTCGTTAAATCAACGGAAAAACGGCCAAAAACTGTACACATACCAGTACGAACAATTTTTCCGTTCGGAGCACGGATTTTCAAATAACATCGCCGAACGCAAACGAACGGAGTAACTGCTGCTGCTGCTGCTCCGGCTACTCGGCGGCGGCGGCGGCGGCGACGATGATGACCGAGGTGGAAAACGGAGTGGCCGGGTGGGAGGGGGTATGGGGGGGGGGGGGGGGGGCATGCGTGTCAGCGACGACGGCCGCTGCCGCTGCACCCCCACCTAACGATTTTACGGTCTCCGTGGCCGCCGTCGCGCCGCGCTACGCGTACTCGTTCGCCGACGCTACAGTAGCGCTGTGTAATGACGTCACGATCCAGCGCCTCTTCCGCCGCTGCCCCTCGACGGTTCGTATTGTGCACACCGACCACGGCCGGGCCTCTAAAAAGTGCGTTCGATGACGACGGTAATTTCACCAACGTAATTTTCCCGTTTCGTCGTCCAATTTCATTTTTTTTTCCGCCGTTCGATCGAGCACACGAGACCCACACGTCACCGAAACGAACCAACGTAAAGTGTTGTAGTACACCTGTGTAAAACGTGCCCAAGTACGCGTACGATATACCGATGTAAAACTTAACTCATTTGGCAGTTTAAATTTTGGCAAAAATGTATCGCGTGCGGTTAAACACACAAAATTACGCACTGTCGTACTGTACAGGGTCCTCGCCGTTGATTATCGTTCTCCAGGTGGCACGCACGTCGTACGAATAGGTCCCCTAAATGAGATTAGCATGTAAATGTCCAATGGTTTCGGGTGAAGCTACTGAAATTCGAAAACGTCCGTATCTATAATCTATAATAGTGATATTTTCAAACTAAATGCCGAAATAATAATAAAATACAATTTTATCATTTTATTCATCTGATTTGGTGTACTTAGTTCTAAAAAAGGTTCCAGTATACGCCAAATGTAAATAAAAAGGATAATTGGGGTTAATTCTTACGCTCCCTTGGGGGGGGGGGAGGTTATGAAATTAGCCAACAATATAATGATCCTAATTTAAAATCAATAAAATACAATTTAAGAGTGATGTAGCGACTTGCAGCAGTGTAATGGCTTTTAAAACTATACTTCCGAGTAATAATTTTAATTTAAAAATATATGTGTAAAATAATAACCTTTCCTAATAAACGTGATAACAAGGAAATATGTTTGGTATTTCTGATTTTTGTAGGAAAAAAGGTCATAATTTGTTATTACTGTTTATAGTTATAAAGTTTATAGTATAGTTCAGGGATTCCTAACCTTTTTTACTTAACGGCGTACTTGATAATTTTAAAAATGTTTACTGTACACTTATACACTTAATTAATAATGAATAGGCATATCATATTAATATATAATATATTGTTTTTATTAAATGACACCAATTTAATGTGATATTTGAAAGTATCACTAGTTTTCATCTCAAAAAAAATCTTTGAATATTGAGAGATTTTCTTGGATTAAAAATAATTCTAGTTTTTCTTCTAATTCAATCATAATTGTACTCGAATAAGTACTTGACCTCATGATAACCACCTTATTTATACCTATGTATAAAAGTAAATGTATATTATACGAACTCATTTTTTCACAAATATTTTCAAAAAATCCTTGTTTTCAATTACCGGAATTTAATATAATTCACAATTTTAATAACATAATTTAAAACTTTTTAAAACATTTTTTCTCATACATTTTTGTTACCAGAGCTTTTGGATGAATAGAACAGTGTGAAATAATCATAGCTAAATTTTTAATTTTAGCAAGAGTAACAAAACTTTTATAATTCTCAGTCGTATTCGGAGCTCCATCTGTGTACATACCACAACAATAATTCCACGACAATCTAGATTTTTGAAAAAAATTATTTACTACGTCAAACAACCAGTGGCACAACTAGGGTTCATATCTTGGGGGTGCTACCATAATGAATCGTTCATAAAGCCGTGGGGGGCTCTGCCCCCCCTCACACCCTTCGGCATAATATATTACTATTATTTACATTATACTACTGTTTGCAACTATACCATTAATAGAAAATAAATTTAACACATTTTATTTTTTTATTATATTATTATATTTTAAAGCGTCAAACATAGTTATCTGTCAATACTTGCAAATGTATTTAATATTTTTTCAGATTCAATATCATTAGCTAGGTCTCTCTCAATATTTATGATACTTAAATTAGTAAAGCGCTGCTGTAACATGCTGCTCCGCAGCCAATTTTTCAATCTCCTCATAGAAGAAAAACTTCATTCACATGTCGCAGAACTGACAGGTACGGTTAATGCAACCTGCGTTAACTTGTACAAGTTTGGAAATACATCTTTATTTAGTATTTTTTTTATGTCATCTATACTGTTTTTTTAACAATTTCTTGCTACAAGCATTTCTGCTTTTAAACACTCTGTATTTGAATTAATTTCTATGTCTAAACCATTAACGAATCGAACACATATTGAGAGTTGTTCTTGCTTGTGAGATCTATAAAAAATGAATCTAATATTAAACAAAAATACATTTTTTTATTTAACTATAATATGCACCTACCTCGCTTCATCAATCATTATTGCAAAAAATCCAGTAGTTATTATTTTTCTAATAATAGGTAGTCAATCTTATATTATCAGCACTAATTTGCAGAATACTTTCTTGTATTTTCCAACTAGTGAAATTAATTTTTTTATCATTACACTCTTTAAAGTCCAATACACATTTAGAGAAAACATTGCAAAATTCCAAAAAATTACCTTTAAAATATTGAAATAAAGTCTTATAACTTATGTTACTTATTGTTTATAGTTTTTATATTGTAGTATAAATTTAGTACCTTGGTTACATGAATTAGAATCTTCACGGTGACCACGAAATGAAACGCCTTATTTTGTAAGATACAAAACTATTTCGATAATATTTAAAATATAATTGCGATTCTTCATTACTATTTCATTGTGAGCACTTATGACTTGAAATTTAACACTTCCAGTTTTTTTACTGGATTTAAAAGCTACCATCTTTGATACATTTGTTAAATGAATTTTGGACATTTAGTGCTTATTTAATTTATTAGCAAACTGGATTATGTTGAAAATGTAAAAGTTTAATGATTAATTTAAATATCTAAGTTACTATTAATATTATTATTATTATTATTTATTTATTATATAAACTTACTTTTTGCCAATTAATAAGTCCAGTCTTAGTCCATGCTGGTTCAACATCATCCGTACCAAATATGCGGCAAACATAACAAAAAGCAGTATCTAATGTAGTGCTATATTCTAACCATACACGTTCAACAAACCATTGTTAATTAAAAGATCTATGTTGCTTTCCAAACTTTGTTTTTGGATAAGCCTAAAAGCATTTAAGCATATGCAAAGCATTAAGCAGTTAACTATAAGTGTTTTTAATGGTATACTAAAAAATAAGTTAATTATTTAACTTGTATGTTTCATAAATAAACAAAATAATAGGTAGGTTAGCTAAAACATTTTTTAAAGCAATCAAAATAATTATATAAAATACGTAATAAGTACTTACAGTCAAAATTGGACGGTATGGTCCTAAATTCAAAATTTGAGAGGTACTGGTACATAAATTTTCACACAAACTACTTGACGTGCTTGGACTAAGATCATCAATCGTTTCACTGTCTGAATGGTCGGACTTACTTTGAATAGTTTTTTTTTTGTTACTATTACTAAAAAAACTAAACATTATGAATATTGAATATCAAATAAAAAATGTAATACCTGCGCTAAAAAGCTGAAACACTTGCAATTTCAAATTTGAAACAAACAATATCACATTATCACAATTCACGCGTATGGTATGTATATATGTATACGCATACGCTCTGAAAAAACAGCATCATACTATTTTTGAAACCATCGATAAAGATTAACGACGGACGACGTGGTCGTAAAACGAATGAGACGGTCGATCAAGTCTCAATTCAAATTGATAGGAGGTAAATAAAAGTTCGGGGGGAAGAATCACAGCGATAATTGTTTATGTATGGAATCCGTGAGACTTGTCTCACTAGTTTCTGCCACCCGGCGGAGCGTTAATCTACTTGTAAACTTGCCGTGTTCTTGTTAAAAATAAATATTTAACTATTAAAATTATATAAACTTCCTCAAATTATTGTTTAAACTATGTCTTCTGTTCGAACAGTCGAAGTAACAAAAGTGGCGGCCGTCATGAATGATATATGATTGAATTGCTTCCCACTAATACAACTATACTAATTGCGTCCGATGTAAATACATTATTTTTCTTCCCATTTAATATAGACTTAGGACAGGCCCGGCTCAAGTAAATATTTTATCAAATATTTTTTTTTATACATAAAAATTGCCCAGGAAAAATTCTGCCATAGGCATGGGCCTATGTCGCCTACCCCTTGAGACGGGCCTGACTTAGGGCTGTCAATAGCAACATTAAATATTATATTGCTAAAGGTAGGTTAAAAATATGTTTTTTATCATTTTGTAATTATGTACATCAAAAATATTGTTTTCGTCGTTAAATATAAAAATAAAAGAATAAGTAAAAAAAATTTCAAAAAATATAAGTTATATGTAGATATGTAAGTTATATATATGTTATAAAATTATTTGTGGCTTGGTAAAAATTTGAACAATACAGTTTTGATATAATCAAAACGTGTTATTTCGTTCACGTCGTATTTAATCATTTGTTTTCTTAAAAATTCTTGTTTTTCACATATTTCACGTCTTATTTTCTTTCTTTGATTACTGCTGCGAATTTTTATGTAAGTATCTTTTTGTACGTTTTTAAGTACATCAATAAATTTGTAGATATTTAGATGATTAGAATAAAATTTACCGTTAAATTTTTTATAGAAAGCTTCACAGCTATTTGTTGTCCGTGTAATTGAACTTGAATACACTGTTAAAATAAATCATTTGTAAAAAATTTTAAAAATTATTAATAATAAATTAATTATCATAACGTCACTCACAATTTAATTCATATTTTTAAACAGAAATAGAACAGTACAATTATTGTCAATATTTTTTTAGAAGGACATACTAACCGATTATATTTATTTCATAAGTACTCATATAGT